ACAATAAAAAAAAATTGAGAAAAATATAAGGGACATATCTAACGACAATGCAAGCATAGTTTCCTAGAACAATGCTCTCATTATACTGAAATAGATGTACCACCACATAGAAGATACTCCACTATCCAACATGATGTGTGCAATAGTGCTAAGCAGTATTCATGTATCTTCCATTTTTTTTTTTCGTTTATTTTGAAATATTCAAATAAAAACTTAGTGTCGATTTTAGCGATAAAAATGATATATTTTTCAGATATTATCGACTTGAAATTTTTCTCGAAGCTGCTTTGTTAATTGTAGTCCAACTACTTAGCTCGTTTAATTTTAGTTTTTTGTTCATTATTTCAAATATATCATTTTTCTATAAATGTCAAAATTAATCGAGCATAAAAAAGTAAAAAAAGAACAATTTTTTGAAGTGTAAAATAAATGTATATCTCCATTTACATGATGATTGACAAACGACAGAATTTGTTGAAAGAAACTACGCAACATAAATGGTGTCTCAATTAGGTATAGGGAATCGCAGATATAACCTAAAAAAAAGTAGTATTTAATTTTTTTTTATGCTATTCAATAAATTATTATAAGCGAAATTTTATAAATTCGAAAAAATGTTAAAAAAAAGGTTACATAGAATTTTTTTTGGAATATTAAAACATGTGAATGTTTTAGTGATATGAATCATTAAACAGAGACAGATATATTACCGACTTTTGAGATATATTTACTAATCTGACCAATGCATGTAAAAGTGTACTTGTCTGTAATCTAAAAACCACAAAAGATTGAATTACAAAAATTTTTTTGCGGGTGTGATGTTTATTTTATTCCTTTTGATCTTAGTAAAATTTTAGTCTTTAACATAACAATATAAGAAAGCGATCTTATTCTTTTACACACACATATAAATGTATATTATCCGCTTCTCCACACTATCCAGATAAAAATACCAATCTCAAGTAAGCCGATTCTCAAGTAACTCGATCGTTACTTTAAATCTCTTATTTCACAGTGTATGTAAAGATATCAATAAAATAAATGACATAATATTTTGTTTTATGGAATAAAATTGACTATTAACAGCAGTTGATTGTTAATTTAAATTAAAATCATTGTAATATCGCAACTGGAACATCAATCAATAATGTACTTGTCCAATGCAGAGAAAAAATTGGAAAAAAATGTAACAAAAACTGCAGTATCCTAATTCAAATGTAAAATTGATAACTACCATGAAAACGAAATAACTCAAACACAGTCTTTAAAAAGAAAAATGTAACTTTATAGTGTCGTGGTTGAGTGGTGTAACAACGTGTGGACTCTGATATGCAAATGTCGACGACCATGGTTGAATTTTATCCGAGTAATCTGCCGGGTATAATTTGAAAATTCAAGTGAGTCCCTGACGTGTAACGTGCCTGTTGTAGTGGTAAAAGAGAAAGGATTGCACAGAAGAGAATGCGGTAATTAATGCATTGTTAATCTACTATCTCTTGCTGCACAAAGTATGCCAACATGTGAGTAAGAGAAATAGAATGAACAAGAAAACTGATTAAAGATAGTTAGAGTTAATTTGATAAATCACATTTAAATTTTCGACAACATTAATAGTCAAATATTACTGTTCTCATTTTTATTATTTTAAAAATATCAAATATTAAAAATTTTCACTGCAAATCGTAGTGTTTTATTTCAATACACTTGAAGTGATTTAAAATGACGTCACCCATTTGATTATCATTGTATTCACTTTTAATGCATTTAAATGTGTTTCAAAAATGACTTCAATGCTAATTAAATGGGTGTCATTATGTAAAACTATTCAAGTGCGTTGAAATAAAACACTTTTAAATTTAAGATTTACTATCATGCAATAATGTGCAAAAATATCATCAATTTGCTAAACTTTTTTGTTTAAAAGAAAAAATATCTTTTTAAATAAAAAAAAAATAAAAGATGGAGAAAAATAAGTATTTTTGTAATTTTTTTTTGCCAACTTTACAGATGTGAAATACGAAAATAGTGACAGACAAAATAAATAGTGTACATTGCTATTATTAAACCGGGAGAGACTTTTGTATTTTTATTTTGTATTTCATATTATATTACTGGCGGGACAAGATTCTCTCGTAATGACGGAAGTGTCTTTTGACTATAACCTCAGTATTTAAGTGACTAAAACAGTTTTCTAAAAATAAGATTAGTAGTTAATGAACATACATTTGAGAAATTTCTGTTTCTAGATAATATAGATATTTAATAACTTTAAAAATAACGCGTTAAATCATGATAAATAAAATGATTAATTTTTTAATTAAAATCATATCATGTATTGAAATTCAATCCTGAACATCATAATTACCTATTAAAATGTATTTCTTTCTGTGTTATACAGTAAATTTCAATTATAGTTCAATGCACCCCAAAATCAATAATATACAACAGAATATAGGCACATACCATACTGACCATGGAATGCTATTTGCGTGCCTAAATTAACCCCTTACATCTCTCTCGCAATGTGTCACTCGTTCTTGCATTCCTCTTTGTGGTTCCTTATGAAACGTTCTATTACATTGTGACAACTATAACGACTAATGTCATTCAAATATTCATCCAATGTCAATATATTATCTATACGATTTTTATTTTTTATTAAATTTATAATAAAACTGGACTACACATCTATCAACTTTAATAGAACAATAGAAAAAATATTAAAAAAATTTAAACTGGAAATATATTATTATCTACATGAATATGAATTTATTATTTAGATTTATAAATATATAATTGGAATCAAAAGTTGACTGTTTTATTGATAAGAAATATTTTTACTCTTCTAGGTAACATTTTCAATTTGGCCCTATTTTCTATTTACAATTGATTATTATTATTATTTGAATGACATTCGAATTTATTTTTACAAAATTCATAGCTTCGTGCACTAAAAATTTCAAATTTTCAAGTGTTTTATTTTGATGCATTTAAACGTGATTAAAAAATGAATACAATGCTAATTGAATGGGTGACGTCATCTTAAATCACTTCAAGTGTATTGAAATAAAACACTACGATTTGCAGTGTGTACGTTAATTTTTTAATCAAGATTACAAAAATTAGAATTGTAAAAATATTGTAAAAAAAAAAAATGGTGTGAGTTATTAATAAAATTATTTCATGAGTCCTAAACATGGTCTACTTGATTTTCGAGTACTCTATAATACACGACAAATCTAAGTACATTATTATTATTAAAACACTTGGATTTACAGTGTAATAATAAAACAGCTGAAGGGTAGTTCTATAGAAGTAGTGGGGTAGCAGAAGGGTAGTAAGGAAGTAGTGAAGAGGCCCACACATGGCGGTCACATTTCGTTGCTACTCGGACACTTACGTTACATCTAAAAATAGATCAAACTCATAATAAAGAACGAAAGAAATAACCAAATGTAGAAAAATCTACTTTTCGAGTCGTTTTAAAGATTATGACGAAAAAAAAAGGAACGATTTGAGAAAGCCTTGACGTCTTCAACTCATATTTCTATATCTATATCTAGAGTTTCAAACACGAAACCAGAAGACTCCCAGCCTTTATATTATTTCAGTCATAGTAACAGACGCGACAGGTGTAATGGCGTGGCAGCTGTACCCTGTTTTTTTTTATCCACTAGCATAGAAAATTTCTATCACTTTTTCCTCGAGTCAAATTTTTAAATAAAATAAGCATAAAGAATTTTTATTACAATCGAAATGGACGAATTTAAGATATTCCCTAGATAGAAAATGTCTGACTATTTTATCCTAAGCTATCAGAACGATACGATCATTTTAAATTTCTATGTGGATTATTATGTAAGATTAAATTGATTCATTAATTAAAAATAAGTGTAAATAAGGATTTGTAGTATTTATAAAACCTAACTGTTTTATCTAGATTAGATAAGATTTCCTTTCGTTTCAAGCTATCGATCATTCATTCCCTTATTAACCGAAACATTTGAGAACCGAATTAATTAATATTCTAAAGTAATAAAAAATCAAAACCACATTTAGGTGAATAGAACAAGCAAGTGGACTATTTTTAATATAAAAATACTAAAATTATCAAGTTCATGATGTAATTAACTAAATCTAATTTTCAAACTATTCTTCTAAAAAAATATAATAATTCTTTATAATCAATGACCCACTCCAAATTAATTATTAAACGACTTATTTATAGATTTATCGACAAGTACTTCTTATCATTCAATAAAACATTTGAATATCTTTCAAAAGACATCACTATCAATCATGTTATAATTATTATAAAACGATATTATAAATAAACATGAACGTTTGATAAAAAAAAGTAATTTAAAACATTGAAAATTCACCTACCTTAATTACATATTTTATACGACTGACAATTCAACAATTAAGTCATTAAAATAATGTTAAAATCAATATTAAAATAGATCATTTAAATATATTGTTATCTCACACCAAAAAATATAAAAACTTTCTATTTGATCTCTGATGATACGAACGATGCATAAATTACCAGAAAGATTCCATTTTGTTTAAACACATTTACTTGATCATAAATCTTCAAATTTGAAACAAATAATGACTAATTAACCAATAAAATAATTATTGATAATTCATTAATCATAAATAAATTTATTATTTACTATATTTGATTTTTTTCATCTAAATAATGATTTGTATTTTTTTTTTCGTTCATATTTGTAAAAATGGAATAGTATTTACTTTACGTGTCGATAAGAGGCACTTTTTACGATAAGCTGAAGCAGCTTACATACAGGGAATTCCTATCAGCTTATCTCACTTATCTTTCGATCAAGCTTCAAGCTATAGAGTGTGTATATATATATATGTATATAAAAGATGTATTTATGTAAGTAATAAAAAAATAAAAATACACGAATTAAAAAGCATGCAATAAATAACTACATAGGCATTGGATGTTAAAAGAAAAGAATTGGCTTTACCTTGATACTGTCGTAGCAAGCGGTAACCCGTCCATTTTGTACCTCGACGTTGGCTGGTGGATGAGCGAATTTACACTCTGTATCAGGCCTGGTACACTTGTTGCGTTGAAACTCTCGACACACCTCCAATTGTAACCAACGTGAATCTTTACCATTAAGTAAGTTGTTCATGTTGACCATTGCCATCTTCCGTTCGTAGTTGATGAATTTAATTATCTTGACGTTTTTCACTATTTCTCTCTTTTACAACGTCGTCAAATTAACATGCACCAATAATGTTAATATTTATTTGTTTTTGTGTATAATCGAACAATGTTTATATTCTGCTTTTGGCTATAAATATTTTTATTTGCATTGATTGAGTTAAGAATATATATAAGAAATAACGTCGTGTGTTAATGACATAGTATATCTACAGTCGTCCTCACCATTCACTCTTGGCGTATAATAATGATAAAAAAAATAAATATTTTTTATCTGTTGTAGGAATAAATACAGCAAGGATTATTATTAAACGTACGTGTATTTACTCGTCCACACTTTCTTCAACAATTCTTGATTTTTTTTGACTCAATCATCAATCATACTAGATTTATTATCACCATTCGAACTGGCTTTATGATTTTTTCTCGTTAAATATGACAAATGATTTGTGTGTGTATGTGTTTTTCTTATATTTGTTATTTCGTTTTGTCTCGTAATTGCTCGATTCAGTTTTGATTATTATTCTTTACACACTTTAAATATTTATTAAAACAATATTTTTTTTTCTCTCTCTCTCTTGACTCACTTGACTGATAGAATAACTTGATTCGTTAGTAATATTTATTAATATATTCAATCTAAAGTTCCACTTAATAGTAGAATAGTGAGGTATGTTTAATTATCACTCCTCAAAAAATTCATTTACAAAGATTAAATTGGTTAAAGCTGTCCTTTTTGCACACAGTCGATATTTGGTGTTTTACGGTGTTTTATTTCAAAGCACAAAAAAATTCTTTATCTCTTTCTTTTTTCGTCTTATTTTCTCTTTGTAATCACTGTAATTCTCTTTTGTCTTCTAATTAGTATAGGCCATATTAAAACGGAGATCAATGAATAGCATCTGTGACGATGAATAGAAGCGACGTCCCACAGTATAATCTGAATGATTTTTTCAATACCAAAGCCCGGGAAAAGCTTGGAAGCTGAATGGCCGGCGAGTGCACTTCACTAGGCGCGTTTTAGCAACAGCAGGTGTATAGACAGAGAGTATATATATATATCTATGTATATATATATATATAAAGAGACAGAAAGTGAGAAGATTAATTCCCCGTTTTTAACGTGATGAAACCGATTAATTCTCTGTCTATTGATTTTTGCGCAGGCTGTCTTGATGTGTCTCGCTTTTAGTTGCAGGACTGGTGACTGCACTGGAGCTGTATAAAAGGAAAGAGGATGTGCGAATTGGGTTATGATAATGAAAGATAAAAAGCAAGGAATGATGATGGACAAAAAAAGATGGAAGAAGTGAATGCGATGGTAAGTCGTTATAGAGATGAGTCGGAAGGTCGAGTTGGGTTGCAGATGGGGTCAAACAATGTGGCCAGTTTGCGGACGATGGGAGGATGTAAAAAATATAGGAAACAAGAAAAGAAGGAGAGAGAAAGAAAGAGAGATGAAGATAGAGTAAAAGGAATAGAGAGGGATGGGGGGACCAGCGAGTTAGCGTTACGTCCCTTTCTGTTCCTCAGATTTACGTCATTTATTCGGTCCACTCCTGGCACGTGCCGCGGCCGTACTCTGGTACTTTTCTGGAAACATACCAAAAAGCAAAATCTCGCGTTACTGCGGATGCAAAAGCTTACATTCAGGGTGATTGTAGTATTTTTATTTTGCAAAAGGTATTCAAAAGAGGAATAGTTGGAAAAAAACAAGCACGGGAAATTAAAGTTTACTTCGAAAGCGCATCTATCGAGGCAAGCACGCTCGAAAAAAAGCGGGGAGTCTTGATCGATGATATCAATCGACGCCAAACACCATATCGCGTGCGAATTTACTCTAACAGTTCCATTGCACGAATTCTTTCTTTTCTTTCGTGCGATTATGTTACTCTAATGACTCTTTGTTATTATTATTATTATTTTCATCCATTATATTAAGAACACGATATTATTGACTTGTAATCGTATATACGAGTGACTTGTTACTATTCGTAATGACTACCTGACTACCCTAAAAATATATGGAACAGCAATCATCAGAGCTTACATGCTATTTGTTTCATCATTCATTTTGATTTATTCTTCTTTAACCCTTTGATGACGTCAAAAATTGACAATTTTATATATTAATTAACAAACCGATCTATGTAATTCCATTATTTAATAGTTTTTGAATTAATTCTATTATTTACCAGTAGGGGAAGGTGGGCTAAAGTGGAACACCAAGAAAAAACGTAAATAAACAAATTAATCATTATATTTACGAATGTTAATGATTTTTAATGCATTAATAAATTGAAAAATTGATAAACAAAAAGTGTAATAAGTATTTTTAAAGTTATTTTAATAAATTAATAAATTTTCGCGAGCCTTCCACTTTACCCTCCCTTCTCCTATCCCCTACACAGAGAGAAATGTAATATATTTTATAATTTAACATAGTAATTTTTCCTGCATCTACTTTATAAAAAAACACGGTAATTTTTCTAGAAGTTTCTAATAATTTTTATTGAAAATTTCTCTCTGTGTAATGACCATAGAAACACATCGATCCCAAAAAATCTATTATAGTTTTTCGTATTTTGATTTTAAAATGTTAAATATATTGTTTGACCTAAAATTATACTAATCACTTAAAAAAACTAAATACTTATTTTTTTAACAATAAATTATTGATTATTTAGCTATATAGGTTGAATGATTATTTTCTGTTTGTTTATTTGCGAATTACAATAGAAGAATCACTATAAAAGAAGGATTGATATTGAAAGTTGAAAAAAAAAATTATGATGGAAAATATTCGACGAATATTATGATTTGAGAAATACGATATTACTCATCCTCTCAAAGGTCCTGCAATGAAACCGGTTCTATACATATTTATATATTCTTGGATTGAAATCAGAAAAATAGAGACCTCGTTATCGACTATTGATACTAAACTATTGAGTATGCACGTCTACAATATATATATATATACATTTAATTGCAGGATTTAATAAAAAATTTGAACCGGAATTATTGAAGTTTTAATGACTTATTTATGTTATAATATTTAATGGATACTACAAAATAAAATGTGAGGGTCAGTATTTTAAAATATTTATAATACAAAGTATATGATATTTTAGATTAAATAATAATATTAATCATAATCGTTGAATGAAGGGGTTTATAAATCATTTTTATGTATTTAATTTTAATTTTTATTATTAAATAAAAATAAAAAAAGGAACGTAAAGTGTGAAAGATGAATATACACTGAGAAAAAAATTTATTTAATCAATAAAAAAAAATTGGAAAAAAATATTTTATGGAATATAACGAAATTTTGTTTAAAAATTTATTTCAACCTTACGTTGGATCCCATGACTTATATGGCATAACCAATATTATTAAAAAACAGCTCTAAAAAATATGAGAACTAAAAATAAAATATTTATTGATTTATTGGATTTGAATTTTTTTCATTATTTTCTCAGGTGTCTAGATCTTGAGTTGAATCACATATATTTTTTTCAGACTAAAAAAAATTGTAAAGTTAATATTTGGTTTAAAATTGTGATGAGTTTAAATACTAGTGACATTAAATTAATTTTTATTACTTTCTAAGACTCCGTAGATCTTAAAGAAAAAAAAATATTACTTGCTCACATTAAATTTTTTTCTCGCCGTAATAATACCATGTTATTATTTAATGTATTAATGATTTTCTAAATAAAATAATTATAGAAATGATCATAATGGAGTAAAACACTTGAATAAAATATTTAATCAGAAATAAGAAATTATCAACCAGTTGAGACATGAAACAAAAAATTTCCCTTAAAGAAATGAAGAAATTAAAACTTGTTTATCCTTACTCATATATACATAAATATGAAAGATAATGAATATTTTAACTATACATTCATTCATACATTTCGATATGTTACTTAAATAAACTAAATCAGTCTTTAATATTTTATTAACAAGTCTGCCTTTAAATCGTCTGTTAAAAACCTTTAAAATCATTTTTATTCAACTTCAAAAATAAATTCATAGTGATTGATAGAATTCTAAAATAGCCTAATCATAAAAGAAGAAAAAACTCAAAGTCAAATCGATGTATTACAACGAAATATATACACAGATACGGAGAGAGGAAAATATTTGTAGGTTATATCTCCAGGTCAACGGCACCTTTCTTTTCAGCTCCCTTTACAAACTCGCACACGCGTGACCAGCTCTGTCATACGGCTAAAATTAAAACAAGGCACACCCAGCTAATTCCTTATTCAACTTTTAAAAATTGGTATAATGTTGAAAATTAAAATAATCATTATCTCATAACCAAATAACACTAATTACATAACAATATATTAACTAGTAAAATATTAATTTACTCTAAAAAATAAAACATTATTAAATATTTACACTTTAACGCTTTTATATAAATCAGTGTCATTGAAAATAATATATTAAAAGTTCTTTTTAAAATCTTATTGCGTTGTACGAAGAAACGTATCTAACAGAGGCAACATTAATCTGATAGATTTGTAAATTTATTGGTTTTTAACTGTAATAATCGTTCAAGTCTAATCATAAATAAAAGGTAAAAAAAAAATGTAGCCAAAATATGAAGAAAAAAAAAAGATAAATAGGAGAGAATAATAGAGAAAGGATGACATACACCAGGAAAAGAATGCTTTAAGCTCGCGTTACCAACGCGTCCGTTTCTTTGTGCTTTCTCACTCGGTTGCATCCCCGTTTCACTATCTCCCCAACTCTCTTTCTCTCTCTCTCTCTCACTCATACTCTCCCTCTCAAAGTGATATCCTCTCTACTCCATTCGTTTTTCTCTCGAGATCTCTTTCCTATTCGCTTTCTCCCTTTTTTTACTTTTTCTCTTTCACGGTTCTTCCGTCACACGTCGTTTTAATGTAAAGATGCAACTGGTGCTATTTCTCTCTGTTATTCACACGATTCACGATTACATCAATTTTTGTTTTTTGTTATATGTAACACAAATTTTTCGACTCTATATATTAACAGATAGATTGTAAATGTATTGTTACTACTTTATTACTGTAATCTATAAAGTTGAATTTTTTTTTCTTTTCAATATGTATAGTCTACTCCCACACACACACACACACACACACACACACACCTAATAAATCCTTCTACTGAGGATGATTAATTACTTTTGAAAAGACAATACATATTTTAGAATTTATTCAGCAGTGACCCTCATCGACACTGACCAATACATTAAAGCTAGTTACTAGGTCAATTGAATGTTTTAAATGATTCTGTGTAAATTCAAATTAATTGCAAGTTTAAGAAAACTTAATACAAAAATTAAAAATAATAATAATTAATATTCAATATCTCCTAATGTGTTGATTATATTTAAATGTCATTTAATTTTAAAATTTATTTATAATAACAAATAAATGTGACAATAATTAAAAGAGAAATGTTATAAAAAAAAGTGAAAATAAAAGTAGAAAACATATTAAAGTTTGAAAAATGGGAAAAATCATCAAACTCTCAATGACTTCTAATATCTGTGTTAACAAGAAAACGAAAAGCAATAGGGAGTTTGATTGCATAAAAAGAGAGAGAAGGAGCACAGATAAATTCAGAATATTAAAAGGAAACAGAGCATTTAATACTCAAGAATGACGTCATTTTAAGTAACAGAAGACAAGTAATAAACTGCGTATTTCAGAGGTATTAAATTACACTACGGACTAAAAATAAGATAAAAATAAAATAGTGATATAATCAATATTTATGAAATAATGTAAAATAAAATTCAAACAATAAGAAATAATTGTGATTATAGAAGTTTACATAGAACTCAAACGAGACAATGTCTAGCTAACACGTATATCTTGAACCGGAACACGCGGTGATTATCAGTGCTACGATAGCACGACCATGAATCAGGTTTTGTAGTATTAAACATAAACTCCAACTATGTATGTTCTCATTTATAAAATATATACTAAAAAGATATTATTTTATATTTATTATTTAAATAAATAATTCATTTTACTTTGATCATATTATGTATTCAATTTTAAGTACTTTTTGTACTACACATAATATTATTCAATTATTCAAATTTAATAAGTATAAGAAATATAAATGTGAAAATAACTTTAAAATGTGATTAAATTTCATTACAATATATATACATGAAATGGAGTAATATTTTGAATAACATTAAAATGATTATGGAGTTGAAAATAAATTAATGAGAAACTTGAAGTATTTTTCATGTATATATATATATATATATATATATGTATGTGAGAAGAATAAAAGTTCACTAATTTTTAAATGATAATATTGCGTACAATAACAAAACTAGCACTTGTTTATTTTAGTGACATTATATAGTATGTATCTCGAAATGAGTTGATATTATCCGACATTCTGTGGACGTGTGACTCGGGGAAATAGAATATGATTTGAGTTAACTTATATCTCACGCGACTTTCCAACATTCTAATTCCAAGGAACACTTAACATTGATTTGAAATTTGGGTAAAACAATGTCATCACACTTACTTAAACCGTGCCCAAGCGGTGAAATTGACACTGCGACGTGACTACACTCTATCTCACTGAAAACGCCGGCCCAAATGCTCACGTTTGGTGTTTCGTCGTTTCATATCAGCCTTGTACTGGAATTATAGTATCCTTCCTGTTTGGTTTTATGACAATATTGTTGATGATTGATAAATAATGATGATTTCACAAACAATGTTTATTTGACTAATACTTGAATAAAAATGTAAACTTAATGATCACGATTCCAATTGTAATGACTATTTTAAAGTAAAATGTTGAATTATTTTCTCACCAGCGTTTTAACACCACTCGCGACTGAGCGCCAACGATGGGCGCGTTACGACAATCTTTGAACAACGACGCGACCGAGAGGTGACAGGAAGGGGCGGTGGCGGTGATGAGGCTTCAGGGAAGTGGGGGAAACGGGGAACACGGGCAAATTGATGCAGCTTTGCGGCGAAAAGCCTCGATGCGTTTACAAGAGGGTGAAAGGTAAAGAGGCGAGCAATGCTGGTTAGGCGACGGAATTGCGACTGCTCGAACTGGAACAAGTTTCTGGCGCGACGGCGACTGCTCACGACTTGAGCGCCATCCCCCTTCGGTGTTCGATATACCAAATTCAGCTCGATTGTCGGAATTTCATATCCCCACCATTTAAACAACCATGCTTTAGACTCAATGTAGTTATGACTGAATACCCCCACTATACAACTTGATACTATACTGACAGCGCCGCGTCACCTAGTTACCCCTCTGACGTTCGATAAGAGTATTAACGCGCATGCGTAACGCCCCCTTCTTTAACTTCTCTTAACTTCTCCTCTGTCGCTCCTTTTTTGCTTAACAGCCGATAGCCCGTTGCTGCTGGAAAACCGGCAACACGGTTGAACTTCGTAGAACGCACTACACATCGACTGCTGACTATCGCCCTCGCTTGTGGGTGGATTGTCATACGGGGTGCGGCGTGATGAGGAGAACTTACTTGAAGTTGGTAGGGATAACGCTGTGAGGTCGAGGGGAATCGCACCAGTACACTGTACTATACATCGACATAATCTCGTTTCTCCAACTCTAAGAGACACAAAGTCCAAATGAAAGAGAAGAAGAGAACTCAGATGCCAAGGCCCAAAAAATTGATAAAAAACAACTCGAGAAATATTCTTTATACATTGACACCAATGTAATGCGGATGCAATCTCAGATCATTTATTCATTTCTCCTTTTTTACTTCTCCTTTCCTCTTACATTTATTATAATAAAATAATCAAACTTTCTCAACAATAAATACTTGATTCTCCTGTGATAACCTTGACCCCAGAATACCTTTTTCACTTAGATTAAGACGATGATATAATCAATAAGAAACACACATGGTAACAATAATACAATTAACGTGTGATAGTTGATTTATTGGATAGAGGAAGGAACTCGATAATTAAAAAAAAAAACGATATTTGGTGTATTAAAATCAGATATATATTTCTTTTTAACTCGGTGAACTCCGATAAGCCGTGTGCCTTACCTCTATAGTTTTTTAGCCGCCGAGACGTGAGCTGTCGATATTTTACTAAGAATTTTTCATGCTTTGTACATCGTCTTGAAAGGTTTTGAAGCTTTCCTGCACCTCCAGCTCGCGTTTTACTTTGTAAATTCTTTTTTGTGCAAGCTTTCGTTCACCGCATTCACAATATCTTTCCAATACTACGATCTTCAACAAATTCACTCGTAAGCTATTTCTTTTTTATCAATACACCCAAAGTAGTTATTTGGAATGTCATTATAATATTTAAGTAAATAAACAATTTAATTATAATTATTTGTTATTTATCAGAAATTAAAAGCAACACAGCATGAATAATAATATTGATAAATAATATCTTTAAAGAGACTTAATCATAATTTAAATAATTTAAATTACTATTTTTGCAAATAAACAAATTTTTATGATACATGTTTTATTTTTTATCTTAAAAAGTAATGACATTTAATTAATCTCAAGTTGTTTTATAGATTCGGCATAAATGTAGCTTCCAAATAGAAGAAAAAAAATTTCATAAAGTTTATTTGTTGATAAGTTATAATTAATTGTTTAAGAAACAGCGGCACTTGTTCTTATAAACAATTAAAAATATCTCAAGAACTATTAATCGTAGAAAGTTGAGACTGATTTCATTTTATTCCTTATAAAAATCTCTACAAATTATATTTAGCATGTTTTGATCTCCGATGTGTTGTTTCCAAGATATTTTATAAAATAAAAGTGATTTTGTTTATAAACAAAAAAAAACACATTTTGCCATGTAGTAATAAATGTTTACTTAAGTCTGTCGGTACTAAAAATATGTGTATTAAGTTAAATAAGAAATAAAGAAAATTCTGATCTGATATACAAAAAGCCGACATGAAAAATAATACTCAAATGTGACATTTAAAGTTACAGTTGGCATTTAATTTACTAGAGTACTTATAACATACAATTTCTATTTAAAAAAAAAAAACTATTAATCTTGTTTTTTAAATGGGTAAATATTCTTTACTATATTCGTATTCATTTGAAGTTATAGACAGTTGTAGTTTCGAAAAATTAGCATAATTACAGCGATGTCTTAGCTATTCTTTCAGGTTTATGCATTGTCATTTCATTGGTTATTCCAATATACAAATCTCACATACTATCTTTCTCTTCTGCAGCTCTGCAAGCAAAGTTGTTTGGTTACTTTGTTGAAACTATGGTAGAAAGCTTGGAATGAAAGGATAAGAGATGAAGAGGTGAATCCATGAGAAACCTGCTTAAAACACCACAACTCTACTAATATTACAATAATATAATAAGTTGTAAAGAGTAGGCCAGAACTCGTCAGTTATAACTTGTTATAATTTAATCATTTATTAATATACATCAATATTATATTTAACATTCTACTCTTATTATTTCAAATACCAACAATGATTTTTTATTTAAATCTACATAAAATTTAATTTTAATAGCTTGCTCTTATTAATTTAATATTTTTTATTATTAATACATTTTTAAATTAATTATTATCTTCAAACATTTTTGGTATCATTAAAAATAATGATATATTTTATGAGTTAATTTATAAAATAATTATAATAATAAATATATTAATAAAAATATTATTTAATAAGTCAAATGGTATTTTAAATAAAAAAATTTTGATTGTTTAATAAAATAAGTTTTTATATATTTTAATTCTGTCAATGTGATTTTTTTTTTTTAGTATTAGTTGTCATGGCACATTCGTAATAAGATTAAGAGTACGTGAGAAGAATAAATTTACGATTATAATTGACAATTACTTTTTTATTCTGCTGTTACACATAATGATGTAATATTTTCTTTGTTAATGTTTGACGTTGTAATGAGAACTGAAAGGTGTAATAACAATTATGTTAACCAATTATCTACTTAATATGCATTTAATTCTATTCATTTGTATATTAACAATGATTTTTTTCTATCGTCTGGTTATTATTCTAAAAGAGAATAAAAAAACTCAAGATTTAACCATTTTGAAATAATTCTTCATTTTTCATGCACAAATTCCTGACCAGTCTCAACAATGATTTTACTAGCCGGTTTTACGGGAATAATTGAACCTTCCCTTTTAAACTATACATACAACTTGTTTTGGGCTTGATTTTAGTTGCAGTAGCTCGTGTATAGGTCTCGAGGTTACGAATTCTAGTTCATAAGATCAGTGCAAAGAGCACAGGGAATTAATGTCTGTATAATTCCATTTACATTTATACGAGTAAATATTGAGAAATAATAAATCTACTTTACAATCAAATTATTTAATAATTAAAACTTAATAATTTTTTTATTCATTTCGAATAAAATAAAAAAAAAATGGAAATCTTATTGTTTTCTTTTAATACACTAGAAGTGTTTTAATAAAACATCATTCATCTGATTTATATTGTGGTCAATTTTGATGCACTTGAATGTGTTTTAAAAATCAAATGGATAACATCATTTAAAACACTTTAAAATTCAAAATTTGCAGTGTAATCCAATGTCACTTGCATTCAAATACATTTCATTAAATTCAATAAAATATTTCCAATTCTTTTTATCAATTAAATCAATATTTTTTTTATACTAAAAATTTGTTTCTCAATGTACTGAAATATTATAAAAAATAAAATCCTCTATCCACAATTAATAAGTGGAGACAATTTTTTCTAATGCGTTAAACTTCGTAGATTACTAAATTAAAGTAGGCTACGTTAAAAGGAGTGCAAATAAGATGAAGTTTCGAGGTTAACGATCTTAGTTGATTTTGATGTAGTATACTCTTTGCTTTTTTTCAAGTTTAATCTAACGGTTAAACTCTTGTGTCATGACGCCTTTCGCGGTAGGATTGTAATCTTAGTTGAAGTGAATGCGCAAGAGTGAGTCACGAACAAAGTCAGACGTGGTCACGAAATTTAACTTTTACCTACACTATACTATACTGTTGGGTGTTGCTATTGCCTGTCTGCCAGTTGTTTCTTTTATCCATTTTTCGCTAGAGTTTATACATTTAAAATTCCCCCTCCTCCCCCCTTCCTAAGCATATTTGAAACATATGCCTGAGTAACAAATTGTCTTAACAATACCCTCATTACACTCGACAATGTTGAGTGTTGATTTGAAGTTGGAGAAAGCAACTGAAATATTTAAAAATGAAAGATTCCTCAACGGTCAGTTTGGGCTCATAGCTGACCACTGGGGGCAATTATTATGTCCAAAAAAGTCTCACGCTTACACCCCTTTTGCATCCTTGTCTCTTTACTTTCTTTTCACATATTATATACCCTCTTGCCTCAACAAGTTCATGAGCTAACAGCAGTAATAGCAGCAGCAGCAGCAGCAGGAGCAGTCTAGCACGGTCACTTCTCTGCAAATACTTGCAAGCAGTGATCTTTGATACTTTCTCCCTCTCTGACGTCCAACAAATATACCCCTTACGGATTTCTTGTCCATCACCCTTTCTACATGGCGATTTCTTTATGTCTCGGTTAGGACTCTTGGTTCAACGATTCACGCGAAAAGAACGACGACGACCCTCCTTTGAATATTTCGAATATGCAGACGATAGAACGAGGTCAATTGTGAAAGCGTTTCTCTTCTCTCTCTCTCTCTCTCTCTCTCTCTCTCTTTGTCTCTTTCTCTCCTGTAGCAACTTCAGAAATCAATAGTTTTTTCTCTTTTTTTTTATTAATAGTTTAATATGTATTATTGTTTTGAAATTTAATAATGATCGTTAAAAATTTTCAAAATGTTTAGAAAATAATTGAAATATAGAAGAGTATTGGTAATGTTGATGATTAGAGTGGTGGAAAAATTATAAATATTTTCGTTGGATAAAAGGAATTATTTTTGAATAATGTATTTTAGTGTGGACCTGAGATGAACGTTATTACGACAGAATTGAGTAAGAGAAAGAGAAAAAGATTTCGTAACCACTATTCTTTGCTTCTTTTCGTTTCCATTCCCATATGCCCCTTTTCATCATCTTATTCACTTTTTTTTAAACCTAACCTTTTTTTTCTTTTTTTTTATTCCACAAAACTTTTCGCTCTGCTTGCCGAAAGTTTTGCTCTTATGTTCAATCAAATCGTTGAAATAGGTGGTTGGTTAAAGAAAGTGCAGTGGTTGTACCGCTCATCGTGTCTAATATTTTTTCTTTATTTTTCTGCTTCTTGTACAGCAGAGTTCTTGAGTATGAGGATGAAAACGCCGCGAGAAAAATCACGCTCTTACCACTCACGGTTAAATTACAGCTAAAAATGTTTTTGCCACTTCTCACTTCACATACCTAACGATTCTAAAAACCATTAGTTTTTAATACATACAGAAATATACATTATTATCTTAC